TTGAATGAGAACCAGGAGTTGGGAGATATCCAGCTTCTTAAATACTTATCTGTTGTACGCAGTCGTGCCGCTGTCAAGCATCTTAACTAACTCTAATCAAGATGAACACGTCGCATGACCAGCATATTTACCCCGTGAAATGATGACTGAAATAAAGGCAACAAACAGTAGTTTCAACAGTGATTTTAACACAGATAGTTTTTAATATTCTATATAATCTCCTAAAGGATATTTTAAGATAAATATCATGCTTGCTGATATCCTCACTGGTATTGGTGTATACAGTGATGGGGGCCTTGGCTATGTTGCCGTTGTTGAACCATCCGCAGATGGACTCGGCGGCGTTGATGTTTGATTTCCTTTTACATCCACTTCGCCGAAAACAGTGGATAAACAACGTTGGCCACTAGACTTTTAAGGACTGAAGCTGATACGTGACCAGCCTCGACCCCAAGTTTAGGCACATACTTATAGATCAAAAGGTGGATCTTTTCGTCATCGTCCTCTTCGATTCTTACGACGTAGGACAAACCATCTTCTAGATCATGCGATCCTTTTTCGGGCTTTGCATCGACCCAGCCTGCCTCACCATCTGCAGGCTGCCTAACGGCCCATTCCGTCAGGCGATAGTCGGATATCTTGCAGAATGTGTATGAGTACGACTTTAGTTGTACCTCAATCTCGACACTGTCTGATAGGTCATAAGGTGGACCAGTGTACTTTGGAACAAGATCTTCGTGATAATCCGTGGATGGAACCCAGTCATTATTTTCCCAGTGTTTGGAGTCTTTAGGTCCAACCTCGGCTTTGTAGCCGGTTTTCGTGTTGTGGTAACGAAGTGTATGGTGCGTGTTGTTGACAAGTTCTACAATATGGACGCCCATTATTGTAGTTTAGTGTGATAATTGGACCCTGACACTGGATTGAGTAATTTATAGAAAAGGACTGTTGCTTTTTAATCAGAGGTAGAGTCTCTTGTTCCAGATAGAGTCATACCTTTCTGTTTCCTTTGATATAGAAAAGTTGCAATATGAAGTGCTGGGTCTAAAGTCGAATGTAGCAGTCGTGGTAAGCTGATATGTACTAGTAGTGCACTTTGAACTTATGCATTGAGTTAATCCAGTTTAAAGGACAGTTTTCATGGGGAAGATTGATTGTTTAATATTTTCCAATTAACAGCTTTTGTATTAATCGGATGCTCCGGGCTTGATTAATACCTGTGTATGGGCTCGAAATGGTTATAAAAGGAAATGATCAGCATGCCGTTTGCGCTAAAGATAGCTGAATGCTGGGATAATTATGCAGATTGTTAAATATGACAAAAAGTAGTACAGTATTGAACACCGACAGCTTCCTCTCCTATAACAATCATTCTCAATGGAGGGTGTTTCCACATCTTAAATATATGTACCCTGGACACAGTATACGCGCATAAGCTTAGTTTAGCTTCTGCTTCTTAGAGTACCTACTGGGTTTATGCCAGTAGAGAGTACTTCTATCTCGCACTGTTGACTTGTCTCCACTCCCCCAGATATTTTAGGCAGCAGCGCTACTTCTGGGTATTTCTTTTACGTATTTAAAAATTGCTTATGTATGCATAATAAAGCCAAATTTAGATAAAATATTATTTACTTACTAGGTAGATTTATGTATAAAAGTATCTCTACTCTGGATTTTATAAAGAGAATGTTGTTTTAAAGCGGAAGGTGGAGGTGTTCAGCACTGTACCATGGTACGACAAAAAGTAATAGTCTCTGTCCACGGGCTGAGATAAGGTTCTAAGTATGGCCTCAAAATGGTCGTAAACGGAAATGATCGGCATGCCATTTGTATTGAAGACAGCTGAATGCTGGAAGGATCACGGCTGGCATCATCACGCGGCTCGCTGAACACGTCAACAAGAGGCATTATGGTACGACAGAATCAATAGTCTCTGTCAAAGACCGGCTGAGATTATGTTCTAGACCTTCCGTATGAAGTTTTGGCGTAGCTGATGCGTGATTTATCCCGAGAGAGGGAACAATCGTCATCCTCGTGATACGAGGGACAGCTGAATGTTTGGAAATTCATGCATGCCGTCTGAGAGAAAAAGAGTGCCGAATTAGCCGTAGGAGTACTGAAGCATGCTTCGTGGGCTCAGTGGTTTATCACACGAGTCAATTGTCCCAATCGCTTCAAGCGAGCCACAGCGCAACCTATTTCGGGATGTTCTAATATAAGTCGCGTGGTATTCCTAAATTTCTTTTGTCTTCAAATCATTTTTGTGTTCCAGTACCGCAAGCATCCTATCATCATGATTGACCCCAATGACCTAGACGGAAGAACCGTCTGTTTCCTTAACTTTGCTACTGGCAATGCAATGACTCTTGATACTCGTGAGTAGCGGTACCGAAAATCACTGATAAGTTGCTGAGATAAGGCGGTCTAGAGAGGAGCGATCCCTCAGATGGCACAAAAGTCCACAGCTGGGTCTTGAATGACAACGACGACCAGTGGTGGAAGCTTAAGATAGTAGATGGCAAGGGGACTGAAACCCCCACCTTTGTAATCGGAAATAAAAAGGCTCCAGGGAGTAAGCTGCCATTACTTGTTTTCCCGACTCTTGAGGCTAACATCTTACAGAATTTCTTGATCTTTATCATGGCAGCAGCGACAACAATACCAAGATAACAGGATGGTCAGGTGGAACAAAGGATTCCTATCACCAGCTCTGGCACATTCACACCCGCGGTAATTGGGCCGACAAGGGACAAATTGTCAAGTGAGTTAACGGATCTTGGCCCAAAAGTCTGGAGCAGGCAACCTAATGAAGTAGGATCCAGAATAGAGGTGCCGGGACTTTTGTGGACTTACATTATGGTGGATCCAGTAATGGGTAAGACTCTACATTCTTATTTGCTATAGTGGAAACCCTCAGCTGACCATTGTCCGTACTGAAGAACACCTATTGTGGGCTGGGGCGGGGATCTTGAGAACGTTAACGAACATCAACTCTGGCAAATTGATTTTGGGGATGACTAACTTTCTTATATCAAAGATACGTATGGAGTACGAGTTGTCAACTACACTCTAGGTCGAAGCTATAAGTATTATAGAATATAATCTTAGACATCATGAAAAAGGTGACTAGACATGGGCGTAGGGAGCTGACCAAAACTACTTTCCATACACTATACCCAGTCTCAAGGCCATTTAGATATTATAAAAACTCTTTTTATCTTCATTCGTGCTCTCGTTGTGACGTTATCGCTTGTATTAGTTGTGAACCTCGTCGTCGCTTCGCCAGCCCTTAGCCAATCAGAATTTCGTGGTCAAAACTAAACCAATTCGATTTTCGTGGTCAAAACTAGTCCTTCCACGAGCTAGCGCACTGCATACCCGCGCTAAGTCTGTTTAGTCAAGTAATCTCCATATCTGTAACCTCAGGGGGTTTACGGATGTACTTGTGTAGGTACTTTGTTTATTTTGTTTTATCCCTACCAGTCCCAAACTTCTCATCTATTCTATACGTCTAAACAGCACCTGTTAAGCCTTCGAGTATGGATGAGTCACTTGGTTCTGAGCTTGGACGTAAGAGGCGCGGACGACCACGCCAATACGCTACTCAGGATAAAACGAATGCGAACGTCGAACAAAGGCTAGCAAAGCGGCAGAAAGCAACTTCTGATAAAAAGGCTGAGTAATATGCTTACTTCTATAACACGGGTACTCTCTCCTTACCCACTGTTTCACTTTAAGTCGATGGTGGAGCCTCGGTCCAATGGTCTGATCATTGACTTGAGAGTGCCGCTATGCTATCAGAGATTGGACGTCACGCTCCGGAACTTGATGGTCTAGATTTCTCGTATCTCCTTGCTCTGCCTACCCCTCCCCTAGAGCCATATTTACCAGGAGGGTCCCCTTTGGGGAGTGATGAAGTTCTACGAGTACCGTTACTAGTTTCGGGACATTCGGAAGGTGATACAGAAAACCTAGCTCCAATGGCTGCCGTCGACACTATGGAAACCTCACCACCCGCTGATGCAGACCATGAATATCGAGTGAAACGTCTTGGACGTCAGCTGGTACAGCAGTTAGTTAAGCTTCAAGGATGTTGTACAGACTGTCACCGTTCAGCAAAGGTCCAGCGCGATCAGACCCAAAGGGAGCATATCGGCCTTGCTACTTACCTGGAAAGCACTGCAGACATTTGTCCTGAGGTTCTGAGCTCTACTCGCATTGCATCTCCAGAAGATGACCTTTCTGAAAAGATGAGTAGCTCAGACCGGCGACGGGTTTATTGTGGCCTCGGCTCTGGAGGTCAGGCGCCTCATATCTGCTTGAATGAGGACAAACGAATCACGCATGTTGCTGGGGTTAGCTTTAACGTAGATAGTGTCACAGGATTTCCCAGCAACCTTGCCATCGCCAAGCAAGGAATTCGCTAGTCTCCTACCCAGATACCCGTTTCAGACCTGCAGTCGGATCTCCACCTCTGCCCGAGACCGGTGCAATACCTAGATATAGTGGGAAACCAACGCCGAGTCCACCGTCCTATACATCAAATCCCGCATTACACTTTCGGTCGCCTCATCGGATTCAAAGATGTATCGCTATACTTGCTGTTCCCTAACTTATACCGGGAAAAGCAAAAGTCTAGTCAGCTCCAGGACAAAGATTTCCGCACATAGATGGACAATATGCTGCTTCCTATCATTCACAACCATTATAGCAATTCACATGTCCAACACTACCCCTTAAGCTATGATCACAGTAAGTATAATGCCACCGCTCGCGGCATTGAGATGCTTGACTAAAGAGTGCATCCAGGTGCTCAAGAGCAACAGCTTAAGTATTACCTCCCGCCTGAGACTTTGGGAGCTGTATAGGCTTCTATTTAGCATGCGGTTCAGGAACCAGGTTTCTGTCACTTCCGCGACATTACTGTGCTCCTATAAGCCAAGAAATTGAAGGTCTTAATGAAGGACATCACCTAGTCATAAACAATGGCACGATTCCGGAATTACTGGTCCCACGCGATCGACAAAGAGTATGTTACAGCGGACTTCTATTTCGATGTAGGAAAGGAGACCTGCCCTCAACAGGCATCTCGAGCTACATCGATCGGTGATGAAGGTGTATTGAATGGCGATAGCGACAATTTGGCGTGCACTCCGGCTGGGACGCTTTTGTACAAGCGTTATTGTCTCCAATCATACTCACATCTAGCGCAAAACGATGTCACCGCCCAAGAAATTGAGAAGCAAATGTTCTATCCTTTCAGTATGCTCCACGACACTGGAAGCCTGACTGTTAAGACGGGTCAGCGATCCTTACAGCGCAAAGCTGAACTTCTGTATTCTCAGTTCTACCCCAGTATCAAAGAGGTTTTCGCGACAGGGAACGTTTATCCGTTCACTAATACCGCAATCAAAACCCTTGCGTTAGACAAAAAGTTACGACAAACTTAGGAATTAGTCAGGGGCGCCCTCAGTTATCAGCTAGCAGCGTTAATAAAAGCATACCTATATTAAGCTCCGCTGCCATTTCGCTTTATTAGGGTTAATAAAAAAGTCATTCAGTATCTGGCGAAGATCCCGCCTAATATAAGGACAGGAGTTATAGCCCAGCCCACTATACAGTAGTGGTTCAAGATATAGTATAGGCTCTATATCCGGCAATAAAAACTTCTAATTCTGTAGATTATCCGCATCTTTGATGATGTTCGGTACCTCCAGAATCTGGTTATTGATGTCTCGGCGCTCTTTCAACGTAAAATGCTGACAGTGCAGGGGATCGACGAGATGTGTCTTTACTTCCCTGGCCAGTACAGCTGTCTTGCAATCGAGGCATATAACTAGGTTTAAATCCGCGAGGTAGACAAACGGCCCGATATTGGGCGATGTGTTGCCGTGTATGGGCTCAACCTGCTCATTTTGTCCTCCAGGTAATAGGTTGGACACAGAGTTATAAGTAGACGAGTTAACCTCTTTCTCGGCTCTAAGAGCCAGTGATT